GGGCCACGCCAGAGGAGCTAGATCTCCCCCCGCGGCTCCAGGGCTTGAGGACCTGTCGTCTTCCCCCTGGGGCTGGGGCAGTTCTGTGCCTGCGCTGACTGGGGGGGTTGCCCCTGCTCGATCCCCCGGCACACGCTCCTGGGTGAATAAACCACCTCCCTGCGTGACGTGAGTGACACGGACACAAGCACTCGTGTGCCCGGCGCTGCCAGCGGAGAGTGTCTCCCCCCCCACTCCCTTGCCGCGCAGAGATGGGTTATCAGGCCAAGGGGAGATCTCCCGTCCATCGGCACGAAGCATCTTCACCAGACGGGCTGCAGCAGCGCTGGGCGTGTGGACAAGCCCCAGGGGGGCCCTCGGGGATCTCAGAGGTCACAAGACTTTGTTGAGGGCCCCCCCACACACACCCCCATGAAGAGGAGAGGTGCAGGAGCGCTCATCCCACCAGCTGGAACGTGGGCAGGAAGGGCATGAAACCCCCGTCCAGGAGAAACCCCTCGCTGGACGCTGCTTGGATGGGAAGGGGCAGGAATGACTGGGCATAAGCACCAGATCCCCTGGCTGTGCCCGGCTCAGCCCCACGGCACACACAGCGCTTGCTTCTGACAGGAGTTTCTGTGACCTTTGGGCCCCCAGGGCTGTAACTCCCTGGTGTGTGTGTGACCTGCTGTAACCTTGTCAAGAACTCCCAGTGCTTGGTCGTAGGTAACAAATCTTTACTGCGGTTATTACAGGATTGGCTACAAGCGTTGTCTGTAGAGGGAGATCGAAGGTGCCACTGCCCTGGGCTAAGCGACTGGCCTGTGGGACACGGAGTGACCCGAACATCGCTGTGATTTGTGGAGGAAGGGACTATCGATCGATCACAAGGGCAGGCTGGCCGGGGTGGCCAGACAGATCGAAGAACCCAAGGGGACTGTCTGAGGCTCCGCGTTTACTTTGTTACAGGGCCTGTGGAGTTCACACCCGATACTTTGGTGAAATCTCAGTACAGAACTCAGCCAATTTGGGGTTGGTGTCCCGGGTACTAACTGTGCCCTGAGATTGGTCCCCACACTCGTGAGCCATTCGACAGCGTGACAGGGTCGCCCCAGGGCCCCGCTGGGACTGAGGGGCAGGGACGGGTCCCCAGGCGGGGGCAGCGCGGGCTGGAGCCGGGCAGAGCGCGGGGAGCAGACGGGGACAGGAAGGGACCGGCCCCAGGTTCTCCATTCTCTGGGCTGGGCGAGGGGCTGGGGGAGACGGACGGAAACTCCTGCCGGCCGGGGGATCCGACGCCCAGGATCTAACTCAGGAGCCCTGCGGGGAGAGGGGAGAGAAATCAGCCCCTGGCCGTGGGGCTAGTGGGACGGACGGGGGATTTTCTCTGCCAGGCCCCAGGGCGCCCCAGTGACTCTGCCCGGCAGCCGCAGGGCTGGGCGATGCTCGACAGGACCCAGGACCCTCTGCCCCCGGGAGCAGCTCGGGGATCGGCCTGAACGGAGACCGAGGGAGCCGCAGACTCCTCCTCCGCGGGGCCAGCGCCCCATTGCCCAGCTGCCCAGGGGCTGAGCCGGGCGGGTGTCAGGGGCCGAGGGGCAGAAGCAGCCGCCCCACGGGCGCCCCAGGCAGCCTGTGCTCAGTGTGGGGGGAGGCGGGTGTAACGGGGGGAGGGGGATTGAAATTACCTGCAGGTTGGGGAACGGGGCGCCCTGAAAAACAAAGAGAAACATGGTCAGAACCCTGGACGGGGGGGAGGGGGGGGTGAAGCCGGTTCCTGGGGGGTCAGAGATCCATCCCCTGCCCCATGGCATGGAACGCCCCTCATTAGGAACCCAGCCCCCCCTCCGGCCCCACGACCTGGGGTTACCGACCCCCCTCGTTATTA